GTGCCTCCCTGCATGCTGTAGAAAATGTATGTCCTTCATTTAAGTAAATGGTAGTGAATTACCTGTTTGGACTGTGGTGAACACCAGAGGGAACCAGAACCATGTAATGCCAGCCATTGCTCAGCATATAGTACTCTCACCTCTGAATTAGAAGGTTATGGTTTCAAGACCTCCTCCAGAGTCATAGGGTTGTACAGCACATAAATGGACCCATTTGTCCAACTCGTCCATGCCAACCAGATATCCTAAATTAATCTAGTCCCATTTGGCCCTTATCCCTTTAAACCCTTCCTATTCATGTACTCATCCAGATGCCTTTTAAATGTTGTAATTGTACCAGCCTTCACCACTTCCTGTGACAGCTCATTCCATACATACACCACCTTCTACAAGAAAACATTGCATCTTAGGTCTTTTTTTGTATCATTCCCCCCTTACCATAAACCTGTGTCCTCTAGTTTTAGACTCGCCTACAATGAGAAAAAGACCTTGGCTATTCACCCAGTCCGTGCCCTTCATGATTTTATAAACCTCTATAAGGTCACCTGTCAGCCTCCGATACTCTAGGGAAAATAGCCCCAGCTTATTCAACCTCTCCCTATAGCTTAAACCCTCCAACCTTGGCAACATGGGAATGAGCTGTTAAATTGAAGGTCCATCTACCTAATGGGTGGGCGTTAAAGGTCCTTTGGCACTATTTTGAAGAAGTGCTGATGAGTTACCCTGAGGTCCTGACCAATATCTATTCCCCAATCAACATTACAAAAATTAATTATTTGGTCATTATCACATTGCTATTTATGGAAACTTGGTGTGAGAAAATTGGCTGCCACATTTCCTACATTACAACATTGACTGCATTTTAGAAATTTCAAAGTACGTTGATTATAAAGTGTGTTGAGACTCCTGAAGTCTTGAAAGGTGTCCTATAAACACTTTCCTTTGTCTCCTTTAAAATATATGCTCAACCATTAAGTAGCCATTTGTCTTACTACTTAATATTGTGTTCAACTACTGAAATCAGATATTTCTCCAACTTGAATCTACACCCATGATCAGTTGGGAACAGTTGGCATAATTGACCGCTGTTTGCAAATAAACTTTTGTTAATATCTTGAAACTACCAAACCCACAGCTAAGCTGTTCGATGGGCGCAATTAGAATGGTTTTGTACAGGATATTGGCAAGTTTGATAAACCTTCAACTTCCCAGTCAAAGGATTCAGACCAAGCAGAATTCCCAGAGGACTACACTGTGTTGGTTTATTGTAATAATTTAATGAAAAACGAGCAACAATTTGGCTATGAAGTTGAAATACTTAAATGAATGAGGGAAATCAACCAACACAAAATCAAATCTCTTTTTTTAAAAGAAAATACATCCTTCAATTCAAGTGTGAAAGGCAATGTCATCAGCTCAACAGAAGTCCACCTTCTACATGAGATTCAGCTGTGCAGTTCTCAGACTGACTCTGATGGTGGACTATTAAATTTGTTTCCAATATTACACTGAGCTTTGCTATGTCAAATGAAATAGATGGAGTTGCAGGTCAAGCTTTCTTGACTGGATAAAGTTCTCTGTGAAATAAACGTTTTCTGAAGTGATTCAGAAAGCCACACGAATGGGCTGTCCAATTTGCCAGTTATAATAAATAACGCAGACTTCTGCTGTATTCTGTGAGAAAGTTGCCATGTCTCGGAGGGCTGCACTCTCAGAGAGATGACTGGTGGGTTTAACGTAAGTGTTACAATATCTTCGGTGAGAGGCAAGGTTGAGAAGGTGGGACCTTTATGGTAACCTTAGTCGGTGTAGGAATTGAATCTGTGCTGTTGGCATCACTTTGCGTCATAAATTAGCTGTTAAGTCAACTGAGCTAACCAGCCCCTACAACCTACAATACTGAGCTATCACCATATTCTTAGTCTTGATCTATTTTATCACAGCGGTAGACATTGTTTACATGGACTTTAGTAAAGCCTTTGACAAGGTTCCTCATGGTAGACCAATTAGTAAAGTTAGATCACATGGGATTCAAGGTGAGCTTGCCAATTGGTTTTATGGTAGGAAACAGAGGGTGGTGGTGCAGGGTTGTTTTGCGAATTGGAGGCCTGTGACCAGCAGTGTTCTACAGAGATTGGCACTGGGTCCAGTTTTGTTTGTTATTTATATAAATGATTTGGATGAAAATATAGCAGGCATGGTTAATAAGTTTGCAGATGACACTGAAACTGTTGGTATAGTGGACAGTGAAGAAGGTTATCTAAGATTACAAAGAGATCTTGATCAGTTGAGTCAATGCGCTGAAGAGTAGCAGATGGAGTTTAACTTGGATAAATGTGACCTATTGCATTTTGGTAACACAAACAAGGACAAGGCTTATACAGTTAATTGTATGGCTCTGGCTAGTGTTGTGGATCAGAGAAACCTAGAGATTCAGGTACATAATTCTCTGAAATTTGCGTCGCAGATAGACAGGGTGATTAAGAAGGCATTTAGCATACTTGCCTTCATTGTTCAGACTTCTGAGTGGAGGAGTTGGAATGTCATCGAGGTTGTATAGGATGTAAGTCAGGCCTCTTCTGGAGTTCTGTTCTGCCCTTCTCTTCACCCTGTCATAAGAAGGCTGTTATTAAACTGGAAAAGGTTCAGAAAAGATATACCAGGATGTATAATGGAGGGTTTGAGCTATAGACTGGAAAGGCTGGGGCACTTTTCACTGAAGTTTAGGAGGTTGAGGAGTGAACTTTTTGCGTTTTATAAATCATGAGGGCCGTAGATAAGGTGAATGTCAAGGATCTTTTCCCTAGGGTGAGGGAGTTCAAAACTAGATGGCATATTTTTAAGGTGAGGGAAGAAAGATTTAAAAAGGACATGAGGGATAACTTTTTTTACGCAGAGAGTGGTTTGTGTGTGGAATAAACTGCCAGAGAAAGTGGTGGATACAGGTACAGTTAGAATGTTTAAAAGGCATTTCGATTAAGTACATCAATAGGAAAGGTTTGGAGGGATATGGGTCAAGAGCAGGCAGGTGACACTAATTTGGGAACATGGTTGGCGTGGACTGGTTAGACCGAAGGGTCTGTTTCCATGCTGTATGACTGTACCAATGAAGTCTGTAAAGGTAGTGGCATATTCATTCAGGTTGGCTACTGAGTTCTTGAATATGGACCAGTCCACCAACTCTAAGCAGTCCCATAGAGGCTGTTTTGTTGCCTCAGACTATCACTGCACTACTTTCTTTCCTGGGTCCTTGTGCTTCAGTTTCTGCTTGTAAACCAGGAGAAGGAAGGCAGCATTGTGATCTAATTTTCCAAAATGTGGACAGGGGATGGAGTGGTAGGCTCCTTTGGTTGTATAGCAATGGTCAAGGATGTTCGGACTTCTGGTGGGACAGGAGACATGTTGATGGTGTTTTGGTAGCACGTTATTGAGGTTTGCCTGTTTGAAGTCACCAGCTAGAATGAGCAAGGACTCCGGGTATTCTGTCTCAAGACAGTTTGTAGTGTTGTATACTTCAAGTGCACTCTTCACTTCTGCTTGGGGTGGGATGTTGACCGCTGTCAGGGTAGAGGAGGTCAACTTGTGCGGCAGGAAGTAGGGCGCAACTCACCAGGGTTGCCTAATCGGAGCATCAGGAGGTGTTGATTAGGAGCAAATCCCAAAAACAAGCGTTCTGTTGCATCCTAAACAATCTTGCACAGTAATTGAATTAATACTGCAACTGTGCAAGTAAATATCTTTACTTTCTTAAAAGCCATTATGTAAATAATTTCTCAAATTATTGTATAACAATTATTTCATTAGACATTCAACTTGATCTGTCTGGCAGCTACAAAGTCGGTTTCACTACGCTAATAAATATAGTTGCTGTCAAGTCAGAGGCAGTGGCCTCATTGTATTATTGCTAATCTATTAATCCAGAAACTCACCTAATGTTTTCGGGACAAAAGCAGAAGTAGCTGGAAAAACTGCATTCTGAAGAAGGATCAGTAGCCCTGAAACGTTAACTCTGTTTTCTCTCCACAGCTGCTGCCAGATCTGCTGAGTTTTTCCATTGTTTCTGATTTCCAGTATCTGCTGTTATATTTTTTTTAGTTTAATATTCTGGGAACTCTGGTGCCAGTCCTGCCACAGCGGATGGTGGAATTTGAATTCCATTTAAAACAAAATCTAGAATTATAAATCTGCTAATAACTCTGAAACCATTGCCGCCTGTCAGAAAGACACATTTGGCTCACTAATGTCCTTCTGGGAGGGAAATCTGCTATCCTCATCTGATGTGGCCTTCATGTGACTTCAGATCCACAGCCACATGTGGTTCACTTGCAACTGCCCTCTGAAATAGTCTAGCAAGCCACCCAGTTCAAGTTAGTAACAGGAAATAGATGCTGGCTGGCCAGCCACACCCATGTCTCACAAGTGAATAAGTGTCTTCTCTCTACATGAGGATATTTGTTAGTCCCAATTTACAAAATTCCAGGAATTTGAAAAAAAACTTAAGGTGTAAATATTCACCACTTAATGTGCTGAAGGTCAGTCATCTTCTCTCAAACTGGCAATAATATATGTCACAACTTCATGGAGGGAAGGAATTATGTATCTGAATGTTGTTATGGTGCCTCCAGGAATATGGTATTTGCAGCTGGTAACACTTGTATCTCAATTTCGATCAGAATGTCAAAGACCCAATCCAGAACTTGACTGTGTCATTTCTGAACTCTTTCAGTTCAGTACTGAGAGTGTGTACATTCTCAAAAGATAGTACCTTTTGGATGAAACTTTAAATCTAGACCCAATGGAAGTACATAGGTAAGCAGCAAAAAGCCTCTTTGTTTTTCTGATAGGAAAATAGGGAATTCTGCTGAATTCTAGCCAACATTTATTTTTGAACCAGCAATAACTTGTATTTATTTATTACCTTGAATGTAATAAGATATTCATAAATATTAAATTATTTCACGATACATGTATATTAAAATTTTTGTCTTTTTTTTGTTCAGATTGAGTATGAACACAATTGAAGACGAATCTGGCACAGTTACCTTGGAAACAATCAGAGCAGTAACCATAGGCCAGGATACAGAAGGCAATCTGATCTTACATTGCCCTCAAAACGGTAAGTTGAATTATCCGTTTTGTTTTCAACGTTTACATGTACTTTTTTAAAAATAAAAGTCTGTTCCTTTAGTAAATTGCTTAATGCATGTTTGGAGTGAAGTAAAGTTTTAATCTTTCTCCTGTTTCTGTCTCTTTTCCTTCGCAAATTTCCCTTAAACGTGGTGATGTTTAATTTGCAGCAAGATGCGTTTATGCAGGCAAAATACATCCTTCTAAAAATATGACTAGCAGTGTGAAGGGTGGCAACTACAAAGACTGAGTTGGAGGATGGGGGTTGGGGATGTGTGGAGGTGGAAGCTGTAGGGCCAGAGGAGATGACAGTGATAATGAGGGATAAGGTCATGAAGCAATGGAAACATAAGGATAAAAATGTTGGACATCACAGGAGTTAGTATCGGTCAACAGGTATTGGCAAGTGTATGGCAAATGGAAAGTGGTGTCATAGCATTATTATGGCTGAACTGAGGGTGGAGGTTGGGAGACTATCTGAGGGCACTTTTGGAGTAGCCAAGTCAAGAAGTGAGAAAAGAGATAGATGAAGGTTTCAGCAGCACCTGGGCTGAAGTAAGTAAAGACGTGGGTGATGTTACACACGTGAAGAGAGATGATGTACAGCATTTGTGGTTGTTATCTTTTAACCCAAGATTCATGTTTTTCTTTGCTAAAGTTTTTGAAAGCAAATTGGAACAAGTTCACTTCCTTCATAACTTCTGGACTTTAAGCCCCAGTCCCTCTAGTCAGGGACAAACAAATAATATATGCCAGCATGTTTGTTGAATGTTCCTAAAATTCAGAGGTACATTCAGCAAGCTGTAGGCAAAATTCTGAGGGAGCAGCTTCGTGTGTTTGATATGACAGTAGCCAATCAAGACAGTTACGGTGAGAATAGTCAGGTAAGACCAGCCCAAGAACTCAAATTACAACAAAATGCACCAAGTTCAGGTCTCAATGTAAGCCTAGATCTACCAATAAATCCAAAGGTTTGACACCCTATATGGTAACTCTGTAAGTAAAAATAGCAATTGTGTCTTGATTGAAAAAAAGAGACATTTTGTCAAAACACTTCATCTTGTATCATCAGGGCAACTTGTGAGAAATTCCAGTGTATAGAAAAAGCAATTAACTTATACTGTATGAGTAGAAAGTGATAGGTTGGTAAGTACACTCTGGTCAAGGTGTTGCCATGGAGCATCTGTTGGATGATAACTGACAGTTAAGTATCAAGCTTTTTAAAAATGATCATCCTTACAGTTTGACGTTGGATTGGTCAAGGCACAGATCTTGAGAAGTGAACCAGAGAATGGTTGTCATTTATTGTGTTCAGTTGCAGGCACAATATGTGTACATGTTCTTTCTGTCTAAAAACATTTGAAGTGATTCGGTGATTGGACAAAATTTGTTAACTAATCCTGAATGTTCTAAGAATAGTTGGGCTTGCAGTGTGGCATACTTGTACTTACTGGAAACTACATATGGTAATTGACATGGCCCTGCCCTTTGCAGACAGGAAGAACACATGCCTGTTTCAACTCAACAAAACAGATCACAGCTATTACAGCATTGTCTAGAGGCAATGCTTTGACAGTCACTGAACGAAGTTACTTTTGATCCAGATAATAAGAAGGATCAAAATGACTTGTTTCTCCTTGCAAGTTTCCCCATTCCCTATATGAACAATCACAATCTCCCTTTCCTGCAGGGGAACTCTTGGTTTCTTGGTGCATTTCCTAATTTGAGAACATGTCATTTACTTGAGGTTATGTTCCATTACAGCACTGTCTATCCTGCTGCTTATGTTTAATGTTTCTATACTATATAATTAATGATAATAAAGGTTATCTAAAATTTATTATAATATTCTTTTTCCTTTTATCCTATAATAAGTACTTTCCTATCTATTAAATGTAGATTTAGAATCTGAGGAAAATCAAGAACCCCTACACAAAAGGCTTTGTTTGTCAACTGAAGATGATGCAAGTCTTGAATCTACGGGTATTGCTGGCCCATTTGCAGCAGTACAATCAGTTGTTACACTTCCAAGTAAGATCATTACAAATATTTGCTGTAGTATATTAATGTTGGTTGTATAAATTATCTTGTATTAACATGACTGACTTCCTTTGATGACCAAATAAAGTCTCTAAATTCTTCTGTCCATTGCAGTTATGAACCACGTTATGTAAGCTGTCTGTTCAGTTGTGTCTTGCAATGAGCTACATTTCAAGTTTGCATTATCTTCAGTAATATTATTTTCAAAATTGTGACATTGAAAGTGGCAATATAATTTAGTACATCTATTTAAATCAGTGTAGTATGTTTTGTTTTTGGTATTAATGGCATAAATATGAAATTTTTGGCTATTTTATGCAATGTAATAAGAGAACAATTTTGCTAAGTTGTTGCTGTGTGAGATTTTGAGGTTTATATATGACTGATTCTAGCCCCTTTTTGCATAATAATCAATATCAATGAATATGCATGGTAACAACATTGAGTTCCAAAACCTATTTGTTAGGAATCTTCCGTCTCGAAGGTCAAATTCAGAAATCCTAGAACTGTTGTCAAGAAAGATAAAGTGTAATTGGAAGTTAACCTTGAGTGTCAATGCATATCACCAGTTACACATATAATCATACAACTGCATATGAACAGAATGTTGGGCAGGATGTACAAGTGAAGTTTACTCTGTATAGTCCAAAATAAATTTCTATCCCCACATATTCTAGCTTGTTCTTATGGAAATGAATTTGAAATTCTACATAGGGTGTTGCAAATGAAAGCTTTGCTGTTTTTAAAAAATGATTTGTAAAACAAATGACTATGACCTTCTTGTATGAACATTTCAGTTTGTAAATTTGCTGGTCATTTCTACACATAGTGACTGTGTATGGACATATTTGAATAACGTAATTGCAGAAATTTGCTTCTAGAGAGTAGTGTGGCATAGCAGTAGTATCATTGGACTAATAACCCAGAGACCAAAGCTAATACTGTGAGGATGTGGTTTCAAATCCCACCACATCAGCTAGTGGAATTTAAACTCAGTCAGCATATCCGGAATTGAAAGCTAGTAACCATGAAATAGCTGTTGATCGTTGTAAAAGCCTCTCTGGTTCACTAAATTCTTTTTAGGGTAGGAAGTCTGTCATTGTTACCTCATCTGGCCTACACATGACTCCAGTCGATCAGTAATGTGGTTGAATCTTGGCTGCTGTCTGAACTGGGCTAGGAAGGCAGTCTGGTCAATTGGAGGAGAGCAGCAAATATCTCCTCCATGAAAGAAAAGATTTGACCCAAGGAGCAAATTAACAGTTCTCACCACTGACTTTGAAGAAGGCTTCCCTTGAAGATCTATCACCTGTGGGTAGATTTCACCTTTCTCAGTAATAACTTACTTCAGGACTTAGGTAAAGAGGATCTGCAGTATCTGCATCCAGTAACTGTGATACCATCAAACTGCCTAAGCCAATAACGTTGGAAAATTCTAACAAACAGAAATTTTATGCCTTTCAAAGGCATTAAAACAAAAGATTAGAACACATCTATGGAATTAACATAGAAGATGAGCTGTAATAAACCTTTTATATAAAATCATTTTATATTGCTTCAATATGTTTTTTATTATAATAGAGAAATTTGACCTTCCACAAATATAAAATTAGCTATTCAAGGCCAGAGAGGCTGCTCAGCAATAATTATGACTTAGTGCAGCATTGAAACACATTATCTGCAAAGACTTTAATAGTACACCCTGTGGTGGAGCCAGGATTCACAGACACCTGTCTTCTGGACTTTTATGTTTAACTGTGCCTCTGAAGGTGCCAGAAGTTTCACAGTTGTGACAATGAGCTCTGACAGTTTATTGTCATCACAACTGCAATGTCTGTTCATTGTGTTCACAGCTCCAAACAGGCAGAAAAATGATAATTGTTTAGAATTACTTAAGGTTGCTGCACAGAACCATTTTGGATAAAGTGAATACCTGAACTTTATTTGAAAAGGTCTCTACCTTTTCTTTCCACACTGTCCACAAGCATTATTCCTGTCTATCTAAGTATTCCAAATTGGTTTTGTCAGTAATTACCCTGCCAGGCAAATTCCACCGAACCAACTACTGTAACCATCTCTGATAGAACAACAGGAATAAATTAATAGTGGCACTTTATTTTTTTTGTTTCATAATGTACTTGTTTTTCAGTATGCTTGATACCTTTGCTGTGATGTTCTGGGCTTTTATGCATATGTTATGGTAACAGTTTCAGACAACGACCAAAGTTTTGAGGTAACCATGACGGGAGAGGCAGCATCCGAGCTGACTCATGCATCTGAAATTGAAGAAAATGAAACTGTTACTCAGATACAGGTAAGTGGTCATTCTAAGAAATGACTTCAGTTGTAAACCAATTTTTAAAA